TGACTGGGGATTATTGAGTGTACCAGCGGAATTCGTGGATTTAATACGGCCGATCCGCTACAGGCAGAAAGAGTGGCTTAAAATCCAATAAACCCAAATAGACTTTTTAAATGGCAATATGGCAGGAGGCTGGCAATCAGGCTCCTCCAAAAGCCAGTGGAGAAGGGCAGTTTGTCACAGGACCACATTCCACTCTCACCTTTCAATTCTTCTACTTCCTGTCCTTTTGCTTGGTAGCTATCCCCCATGCTGCCCTTCCTCAAGATTCCTAGCTCGTTAGAGCAGCTTCCTCACAAACCTATCGTTCCTGTAACGTTTTGTTTGTAATTGTCTCATTTATTGTTACATTTCCTCCTTTAAAATATTGTAAAGTTCTGCAGAATATGTTAGCACTATATACATGCCAATAATAATAATAATAATAATAATAATAATAATCTATTAACATTTAAATAGATTTATTGATACCTGAATAAATGAGAGCTATTGATTCTCTGACATACAATATACAATATTTTTGCAATGTTTATTGTGTGCTGTCAGCTGATTCACATGTTTTTCAATGTAATAAAATATAATATGACAGTATGTACCAGTTATATTGGATATTTCTCCTTCTGGACACGGAACACAGTTATAACAACACATATGTGTGCTTATACCTTTTCGGTACCCGGGCACACAGTTTTCTGAGCACCGAGACTTTGGAACCTAAAATAGAAAATGAAATATAACAGATTGTGAAACTGTTGTCCATCCAGCTTGGCATGAGAAAAGCACCTTGTATGGACAAGTGTCTGATTGCTGAAATGTATCCAACCTATGTAAATAGAAAGATGAAAAATGCACTTAAAAGTTAATACATAAAAACAACTTTACTGTCTCATTTCTTCTTCTACTGTGTATTACTACTCTAAGCATTTATGTTAACTGATGTGTGGATACAAATGGGATAATGTTTCCATATAATAAAAAAATATGCAAAGGTTGCTGGTATTGAGGTAACCTACCAAGAAACACCTCTAAAAGATCTGCTCAAGCGAAGTGACATATGCAACTTTGGCTGTCCATGAGGCAATTCCTGGAGGGATCAGCTGCGGTGTCCCCCAGTGCTGAACTCAAACTGAAAATCCCCTACAGCACTTTAAAACATTTGTGGAGACTGTGATAAAGTGAAGGCAGTTAGGCTTATAACAGTTAACCCTGTGTAGTATGTTTTGTAGGCAACACAAACCAAAGTTTAGTTATGGGCCCCTGGGGTGGAGCATTTGGAGAGCAGAGTGGGCCAATGCTCCACTCCTCAGTTTATACACAACTGGGAGAAATAAGGTCCAGGCCAGAGTTTTTTTGGAACTGTCTCCAACCCACTGCTCAGCTGCAGATAATCAGCTGTAGCAGCAGGAATAAACCCCTCCCTGCTAGGCAGGTAAAGGGGGATTGCTGGCTGAAACCTACACAACATCAGTTCAGCACAATAGGTTCCCCTCCTTGCCACAAAACTGACCGGTCAGGTTGCTAAAGCCTATCGAGCCATCCCTGACATAGACATCCGAAACTTCATAAACTGAGGCATTATATTCAATAGATTTTCATTTGTAAACTGAAAATTATGTTAACCAAGGCGTTTGTAAACCGAGGTACCACTGTACCTTCAACAAATGCATTACATACATATAATACATACGCACAGACTTCTGAATATAGTCACAGACTGCTGAACACACACGCACACACAGAATGGTAAATACACACACAGGCAGACTGCTGAATACACACAGACTGCTGAGTACACACATACTGCTGAATAAATACACACAGTCGGCTGAATACATGCACACAGTCCACTAAATACACACACACAGAATGCTGAATACACACAGACTGCTGAGTACACACACAGACAGAGTGCTGAGTGCACATAGACAGACAGCTGAATACATTCTCAGTCAGCTGAATACACACACACAACACACACACACAGACTGCTGAATACACACAGTTCACTGAATACACACACACACACAGAGAGACTGCTGAATACATACAAACTGCTGAATATACACACAAATACTGCATTGAGTGGGTATGTGTTTGTATGTACAGGTGTTGTGTGTATGTATATGGGTGTTGTGTGTGTGTGTGGGGTGCTCTGTGTGGGGAATGCTGTGTGTGTGGGAGGAGTGATGTGTGGAGGGGTGCTGTGTGTTAGGGTGCTGTGTGTGTGGGGGGTGCTGTGTGTGTGAGGAGTGAAGTGTATGTGTGTGTGTAAGAGGCTGTGTGTGTGAGAGAGATGCTGTGTGTGTGTGTGTGTGTGTGTGTGTGAGAGAGATGCTGTGTGTGTGTGTGTGTGTGAAAGATGCTGTGTGTGTGAGGTGCTGTGTGTGTGAGGAGTGCGTGCTGTGTGTGAGTAGGATTGCTGTGTGTGTGTGTGCGTGTGTTGCAGAGTTTGAGGGGTGCAGGTAGCAAATTTGTTTTTAATAATGCTATACCTTTATAAAATCTTCATCCCCCCTCCCTTCTTCTTACCTTTTGGTGAAGGAGTGGATAGACACAGCCAGCCCTGGTGGTCCAGTGGGGGTGATTTCTGTGTAGCCTGCAGCTCGTCTGGCTGCAGGCTGTCTCCTGTTCTCCCATGCACAGAATGCTTTGTGGAGTGTTGCCATGGTAACACGCGGCAACGCTCCATACAGCCTGCTCAAGGGAGGAGCGAACTGCCTTACCACCAGGCCATCCCACCCGCCTTACATGTCCCTCCACCTGCCTCCCACCCTTTCTCCCAGATCAAAGGGCCCTTCTGGCCCTGTTTTCTTGGGCCAGAAAATAGGGACGGCTCTCCATGGGCCAGCAGAGGAAATCAAAGGATCTCCCCTGTCGGCCTTGCATGCTGGGCAGCGCGATGGGGTTTTCATTCCTGTGCTGCCCAGCGTGCTCATCCCAGTGTGCCCATGTGGCCCACCACCTGTTCCCTCGATTCTATTCCCTCATATCTCATCCGTACTTTGTCTCCCTCTCATTAACATTTTCAATCTCTCCCTTTCCTCTGGCACATTTCCCTCACCCTTCAAACATGCAACTGTGACCCCGATTCTGAAAAAGCCCAGCCTTGACCCCAACTCCCCATCCAACTACCGCCCTATCTCGCTACTGCCATTTGCCCCCAAGATCCTCAAGAGAGTTGTGTATACCAGACTGACTGACTTTGTCGAATCCAACTCTCTGCTTGACCCCCTTCAGTCTGGATTCTGCACTGGTCATTCTGTTGAAATGGTTGTGACCAAAGTGTTACGGTTACCTCCAAGCTAGCTGAAGGCTGGACCGCTTGGATGTCCTGGTTCCTGAGTGTGGAGAGAAAGAAGTGCCGTTCCGTTCAGCATACCACAAGAATCCTGTGAATATAAAGCAATCCCACTAGCTATGGTACAGCTAGGATATCCTTGTTCCCACAAAACGAGTCGAGGCTGCGATTTGGGGGTCAAAACGAACTGGGTTTAATGGCACACAGGCATCGCTATTTATGCAAAACCCCAGGTGCAGGGACAGCCCCCTCTGGACCTGATGGGATACAGGGACAATACAAACAGTTGACCAATGGCATTACAATGTATCGTTTGAAATGGTCACTTCCCAGCTTGGAGATAATGACTCTAACGGTTATGGCAATTTAATTATCTCCAAACGCCCAAAATCCCACGTTTTATTGTAACATATAAAACAGTATAAAAATACATAACTATAACATTTTAATAGACACATATTATATTCCACCATTTGTTGGATAGCCCAGATCTGTGCGCAGCAGATAGGTGAATAGCGCTCAGATCTCACGAACGGGATAGCCAGTCTCTTCAATACAAAGTGCTTTCGTGCCTTTTTGTCCCGAACACGAGATGGTGGCCATGTTTTCAGGCTGGTGAATATAGAGCGGGACCTGGCCCTAAAACCCCTGCAGCGCGTAGCGGCTGAACAATTACGCGAATACCGCTCAGAGGATGGTTGTCCCAAGGTGACTAAAGAAACAATGAATTATTGTGAG